ATAATATCACCTTGGCATTGGAGAGTTTCATTCTTTATTATTTACGTCTTCCTGAATAACCATCAAAACATGCTGTGCATTTGTTACGTAAGGCGGCGCCCCTTGGATGTTTCTCTGTTGGATTAAATGCAAGGTGCACTGACTCATCCAATGAATTCAAAGCAAATATGACATACAAAAACAATGAATAGACAGATCTCTATAAAATGCAAGAACAATGAGTAGCTGTAAATATCATGTTACTATAGGTCTCGTTATGCAGTTTCTTGGTCCCATCAATGACTATTGTAAAATACCTATATCTGAAATGAGCAAACAGTAGATACTGCATGCTTTTCATTTGATGAAAATACACCGATATTTAGGGAATTACAACACGTACTACGCCTCCATCGCCTTATATGCTGCTCGTAGCACCACAACACATACTGTAAGTAATATCTACTCAATAATGGACACAGAAGTGACCGTGCAGCCACTTATACACGAGATATTTACACCTATCTGAGAAGCGTAGGGATACAAGAGGGCTACAGTCTGAAAGCAGAATATGAGACCGCTCCATGTCACACATCTGAGTTGCTTTTTTCAAAGCAGTTAAAAGAACCTAGATAATTAATTCAACTATTGTAGTCTGCATGTTTAAAATATTTCTTTGAGCTCTTTCCACACGATCGAAATCGCGTACCAATATATGCTGACCGCAGTAACCTGTAAGGGGCATACTATCTCCATCTGACTCAGCAATACAGTAAACTAAATGTAATGTCAACGGTATTACATTTAAGAAGAAGTGCTAAATGACATCCTATTATGGTGTGCGGATAGTGTATCAATGCAGTTAGCAAACTGATAGTCAAATGGACAGGTGTGAAGTTAACTAGGTATGGTATGTTGCTACTTTAATACTATTGTAATTCTCCACAAGGTCAGAACTGCTAAAATGCAGAAACGCCTAAACGTGGACAAGAACAAGGTAGATGTGAAGCATTTGGGGACGATTATGTAGGGTTGAAAATTCTTTAAATCTTGAGACAAAACGTATTAGAGGGGAAGAGTTCTGTTTTTGACGCATACACAGTGAAGACAAAATGTTAAAATACATTAAAAGTAAAATGTACTCATAGGATAGATATAAAGGTATTTTGCAATTATCAACGGAATCTGTTGAGCTAATTCTAGGGACGATGTGTATGATTTCACTAGTGGAAACTGATATATACCATGTATTTATAAATTGGCTTTCCGACAACACAGTCAACGCAAGGAGTGAATTATTTGCAATGTTTAATTGTAAATTACCTTTTGTATTGGAGGATTCATATGCCAAGAATGGGACTAAAACTAGCTCTCGCTGCAGCTGTTTTTGTAATCAATAGGATACGGTTCTCCGTATGTGCGTTTGTATTGTACATCATGTACCACATAGGTGATATGTGTTTCTTCTTTTAATTTGCAGGTAAGCAGTAAGTAAATACAAAGTCGAAAAGACATATTCATTTCATGGTTTTATTTGAAGTCGTTTCTCAAAGTTGACATTGTATAGTGTGGTGTAGTCAACGAGGCTATGGCAACGATGGCATCAAATGTCCAGCATTTGATAGAAATGTGAAGAGCCTGTTGAGTTTAACCATGGTGGCCACCGCCTCCATGGCCACCTCCTCCATGGCCGCCGCCACCGTGACCACCTCCGTGGCCACCACCACCGTGGCCGCCGCCGCCGCCACCATGACCACCTCCGTGGCCGCCACCTCCATGTCCGCCGCCACCATGACCCCCACCACCTTTGCCGCCTCCTCCGTGGCCGCCACCCCCTTTGCCACCGCCTCCTTTTCCGCCACCTCCTCCGTGGCCGCCACCTCCTTTGCCACCGCCTCCTTTGCCACCACCTCCTTTGCCACCGCCTCCTTTGCCACCGCCTCCTTTGCCACCGCCTCCTTTGCCACCACCTCCTTTTCCACCGCCTCCATGTCCTCCTCCGCCTCCTTTGCCGCCACCCCCTCCGTGGCCACCATAGGCAGAGCCAAAGAAGGCTGTGAACACTAGAAAGGAGAACAGTGCATCTGTAGTTAAATGTCTTTAAAGAACAACGCAAGAATATAGTTTTCAACCTCATAATGTTGCCAATTACCTTTTGTACGCTCTTTAAGTCACGTTGCTGTAGAAAATAGGCAATGAATTAAAAGATAAGTGAATTTATCAGTCCACATTTCAATAGAACTCACACAGCTCACGTTTGAAAGTTTGAACTTACCCAAGGCCACAACGAGTGCAATTTTATAGAGCTGCATCTTCACAGTTACGTCTATCCACAGTAGAATAAACGGTGTGAATGACCATGTAGCAAATACACAAGGCCTTTTATACAAATGGATAAGGAAATCAGGACACTATGAATCGAAATACTCCCAATGGAGAAAGAAAGAGAACAAGTTCTATTTTGACTTTTTCCTCAACATGTATTTGTAAACTAACACCAGATTATATAATATCACCTTGGCATTGGAGAGTTTCATTCTTTATTATTTACGTCTTCCTGAATAACCATCAAAACATGCTGTGCATTTGTTACGTAAGGCGGCGCCCCTTGGATGTTTCTCTGTTGGATTAAATGCAAGGTGCACTGACTCATCCAATGAATTCAAAGCAAATATGACATACAAAAACAATGAATAGACAGATCTCTATAAAATGCAAGAACAATGATTAGCTGTAAATATCATGTTACAATAGGTCTCGTTATGCAGTTTCTTGGTCCCACCAATGACTATTGTAAGATACCTATATCTTATAATGAAATGAGCAAACAGTAGATACTGCATGCTTTTCATTTGAGGGGAAGAGTTCTGTTTTTGACGCATACACAGTGAAGACAAAATGTTGAAATACATTAAAAGCAAAATGTTCTCATAGGATAGATATAAAGGTATTTTGCAATTATCAACGGAATCTGTTGAGCTAATTCTAGGGACGATGTGTATGATTTCACTAGTGGAAACTGATATAAACCATGTATTTATAAATTGGCTTTCCGACAACACAGTCAACGCAAGGAGTGAATTATTTGCAATGTTTAAATGTAAATTACCTTTTGTATTAGGAGGATTCATATGCCAAGAATGGGACTAAAACTAGCTCTCGCTGCAGCTGTTTTTGTAATCAATAGGATACGGTTCTCCGTATGTGCGTTTGTATTATACATCATGTACCACATAGGTGATATGTGTTTCTTCTTTTAATTTGCAGGTAAGCAGTAAGTAAATACAAAGTCGAAAAGACATATTCATTTCATGGTTTTATTTGAAGTCGTTTCTCAAAGTTGACATTGTATAGTGTGGTGTAGTCAACGATTCTATGGCAACGATGGCATCAAATGTCCAGCATTTGATAGAAATGTGAAGAGCCTGTTGAGTTTAACCATGGTGGCCACCGCCTCCATGGCCACCTCCTCCATGGCCGCCGCCACCGTGACCACCTCCGTGGCCACCACCACCGTGGCCGCCGCCGCCGCCACCATGACCACCTCCGTGGCCGCCACCTCCATGTCCGCCGCCACCATGACCCCCACCACCTTTGCCGCCTCCTCCGTGGCCGCCACCCCCTTTGCCACCGCCTCCTTTTCCACCACCTCCTTTGCCACCGCCTCCTTTGCCACCGCCTCCTTTGCCACCACCTCCTTTTCCACCGCCTCCATGTCCTCCTCCGCCTCCTTTGCCGCCACCCCCTCCGTGGCCACCATAGGCAGAGCCAAAGAAGGCTGTGAACACTAGAAAGGAGAACAGTGCATCTGTAGTTAAATGTCTTTAAAGAACAACGCAAGAATATAGTTTTCAACCTCATAATGTTGCCAATTACCTTTTGTACGCTCTTTAAGTCACGTTGCTGTAGAAAATAGGCAATGAATTAAAAGATAAGTGAATTTATCAGTCCACATTTCAATAGAACTCACACAGTTCACGTTTGAAAGTTTGAACTTACCCAAGGCCTCAACGAGTGCAATTTTATAGAGCTGCATCTTCACAGTTACGTCTATCCACAGTAGAATAAACGGTGTGAATGACCATGTAGCAAATACACAAGGCCTTTTATACAAATGGATAAGGAAATCAGGACACTATGAATCGAAATACTCCCAATGGAGAAAGAAAGAGAACAAGTTCTATTTTGACTTTTTCCTCAACATGTATTTGTAAACTAACACCAGATTATATAATATCACCTTGGCATTGGAGAGTTTCATTCTTTATTATTTACGTCTTCCTGAATAACCATCAAAACATGCTGTGCATTTGTTACGTAAGGCGGCGCCCCTTGGATGTTTCTCTGTTGGATTAAATGCAAGGTGCACTGACTCATCCAATGAATTCAAAGCAAATATGACATACAAAAACAATGAATAGACAGATCTCTATAAAATGCAAGAACAATGATTAGCTGTAAATATCATGTTACAATAGGTCTCGTTATGCAGTTTCTTGGTCCCACCAATGACTATTGTAAAATACCTATATCTTAAATGAGCAAACAGTAGATACTGCATGCTTTTCATTTGAGGGGAAGAGTTCTGTTTTTGACGCATACACAGTGAAGACAAAATGTTGAAATACATTAAAAGCAAAATGTTCTCATAGGATAGATATAAAGGTATTTTGCAATTATCAACGGAATCTGTTGAGCTAATTCTAGGGACGATGTGTATGATTTCACTAGTGGAAACTGATATAAACCATGTATTTATAAATTGGCTTTCCGACAACACAGTCAAGGCAAGGAGTGAATTATTTGCAATGTTTAATTGTAAATTACCTTTTGTATTAGGAGGATTCATATGCCAAGAATGGGACTAAAACTAGCTCTCGCTGCAGCTGTTTTTGTAATCAATAGGATACGGTTCTCCGTATGTGCGTTTGTATTATACATCATGTACCACATAGGTGATATGTGTTTCTTCTTTTAATTTGCAGGTAAGCAGTAAGTAAATACAAAGTCGAAAAGACATATTCATTTCATGGTTTTATTTGAAGTCGTTTCTCAAAGTTGACATTGTATAGTGTGGTGTAGTCAACGAGGCTATGGCAACGATGGCATCAAATGTCCAGCATTTGATAGAAATGTGAAGAGCCTGTTGAGTTTAACCATGGTGGCCACCGCCTCCATGGCCACCTCCTCCATGGCCGCCGCCACCGTGACCACCTCCGTGGCCACCACCACCGTGGCCGCCGCCGCCGCCACCATGACCACCTCCGTGGCCGCCACCTCCATGTCCGCCGCCACCATGACCCCCACCACCTTTGCCGCCTCCTCCGTGGCCGCCACCCCCTTTGCCACCGCCTCCTTTTCGACCACCTCCTTTGCCACCGCCTCCTTTACCACCGCCTCCTTTGCCACCGCCTCCTTTGCCACCACCTCCTTTTCCACCGCCTCCATGTCCTCCTCCGCCTCCTTTGCCGCCACCCCCTCCGTGGCCACCATAGGCAGAGCCAAAGAAGGCTGTGAACACTAGAAAGGAGAACAGTGCATCTGTAGTTAAATGTCTTTAAAGAACAACGCAAGAATATAGTTTTCAACCTCATAATGTTGCCAATTACCTTTTGTACGCTTTTTAAGTCACGTTGCTGTAGAAAATAGGCAATGAATTAAAAGATAAGTGAATTTATCAGTCCACATTTCAATAGAACTCACACAGCTCACGTTTGAAAGTTTGAACTTACCCAAGGCCACAACGAGTGCAATTTTATAGAGCTGCATCTTCACAGTTACGTCTATCCACAGTAGAATAAACGGTGTGAATGACCATGTAGCAAATACACAAGGCCTTTTATACAAATGGATAAGGAAATCAGGACACTGTGAATCGAAATACTCCCAATGGAGAAAGAAAGAGAACAAGTTCTATTTTGACTTTTTCCTCAACATGTATTTGTAAACTAACACCAGATTATATAATATCACCTTGGCATTGGAGAGTTTCATTCTTTATTATTTACGTCTTCCTGAATAACTATCAAAACATGCTGTGCATTTGTTACGTAAGGCGGCGCCCCTTGGATGTTTCTCTGTTGGATTAAATGCAAGGTGCACTGACTCATCCAATGAATTCAAAGCAAATATGACATACAAAAACAATGAATAGACAGATCTCTATAAAATGCAAGAACAATGATTAGCTGTAAATATCATGTTACAATAGGTCTCGTTATGCAGTTTCTTGGTCCCATCAATGACTATTGTAAAATACCTATATCTTAAATGAGCAAACAGTAGATATTGCATGCTTTTCATTTGATGAAAATACACCGATATTTAGGGAATTACAACACGTACTACGCCTCCATCGCCTTATATGCTGCTCGTAGCACCACAACACATACTGTAAGTAATATCTACTCAATAATGGACACAGAAGTGACCGTGCAGCCACTTATACACGAGATATTTACACCTATCTGAGAAGCGTAGGGATAAAAGAGGGCTACAGTCTGAAAGCAGAATATGAGACCGCTCCATGTCACACATCTGAGTTGCTTTTTTCAAAGCAGTTAAAAGAACCTAGATAATTAATTCAACTATTGTAGTCTGCATGTTTAAAATATTTCTTTGAGCTCTTTCCACACGATCGAAATCGCGTACCAATATATGCTGACCGCAGTAACCTGTAAGGGGCATACTATCTCCATCTGACTCAGCAATACAGTAAACTAAATGTAATGTCAACGGTATTACATTTGAGAAAGAGTGCTAAATGACATCCTATTATGGTGTGCGGATAGTGTATCAATGCAGTTAGCAAACTGATAGTCAAATGGACAGGTGTGAAGGTAACTAGGTATGGTATGTTGCTACTTTAATACTATTGTAATTCTCCACAAGGTCAGAACTGCTAAAATGCAGAAACGCCTAAACGTGGACAAGAACAAGGTAGATGTGAAGCATTTGGGGACGATTATGTAGGGTTGAAAATTCTTTAAATCTTGAGACAAAACGTATTAGAGGGGAAGAGTTCTGTTTTTGACGCATACACAGTGAAGACAAAATGTTGAAATACATTAAAAGCAAAATGTTCTCATAGGATAGATATAGGTATTTTGCAATTATCAACGGAATCTGTTGAGCTAATTCTAGGGACGATGTGTATGATTTCACTAGTGGAAACTGATATATACCATGTATTTATAAATTGGCTTTCCGACAACACAGTCAAGGCAAGGAGTGAATTATTTGCAATGTTTAATTGTAAATTACCTTTTGTATTAGGAGGATTCATATGCCAAGAATGGGACTAAAACTAGCTCTCGCTGCAGCTGTTTTTGTAATCAATAGGATACGGTTCTCCGTATGTGCGTTTGTATTATACATCATGTACCACATAGGTGATATGTGTTTCTTCTTTTAATTTGCAGGTAAGCAGTAAGTAAATACAAAGTCGAAAAGACATATTCATTTCATGGTTTTATTTGAAGTCGTTTCTCAAAGTTGACATTGTATAGTGTGGTGTAGTCAACGATTCTATGGCAACGATGGCATCAAATGTCCAGCATTTGATAGAAATGTGAAGAGCCTGTTGAGTTTAACTATGGTGGCCACCGCCTCCATGGCCACCTCCTCCATGGCCGCCGCCACCGTGACCACCTCCGTGGCCACCACCACCGTGGCCGCCGCCGCCGCCACCATGACCACCTCCGTGGCCGCCACCTCCATGTCCGCCGCCACCATGACCCCCACCACCTTTGCCGCCTCCTCCGTGGCCGCCACCTCCTTTGCCACCGCCTCCTTTGCCACCACCTCCTTTGCCACCGCCTCCTTTGCCACCGCCTCCTTTGCCACCGCCTCCTTTGCCACCACCTCCTTTTCCACCGCCTCCATGTCCTCCTCCGCCTCCTTTGCCGCCACCCCCTCCGTGGCCACCATAGGCAGAGCCAAAGAAGGCTGTGAACACTAGAAAGGAGAACAGTGCATCTGTAGTTAAATGTCTTTAAAGAACAACGCAAGAATATAGTTTTCAACCTCATAATGTTGCCAATTACCTTTTGTACGCTCTTTAAGTCACGTTGCTGTAGAAAATAGGCAATGAATTAAAAGATAAGTGAATTTATCAGTCCACATTTCAATAGAACTCACACAGTTCACGTTTGAAAGTTTGAACTTACCCAAGGCCACAACGAGTGCAATTTTATAGAGCTGCATCTTCACAGTTACGTCTATCCACAGTAGAATAAACGGTGTGAATGACCATGTAGCAAATACACAAGGCCTTTTATACAAATGGATAAGGAAATCAGGACACTATGAATCGAAATACTCCCAATGGAGAAAGAAAGAGAACAAGTTCTATTTTGACTTTTTCCTCAACATGTATTTGTAAACTAACACCAGATTATATAATATCACCTTGGCATTGGAGAGTTTCATTCTTTATTATTTACGTCTTCCTGAATAACCATCAAAACATGCTGTGCATTTGTTACGTAAGGCGGCGCCCCTTGGATGTTTCTCTGTTGGATTAAATGCAAGGTGCACTGACTCATCCAATGAATTCAAAGCAAATATGACATACAAAAACAATGAATAGACAGATCTCTATAAAATGCAAGAACAATGATTAGCTGTAAATATCATGTTACAATAGGTCTCGTTATGCAGTTTCTTAGTCCCATCAATGACTATTGTAAAATACCTATATCTGAAATGAGCAAACAGTAGATACTGCATGCTTTTCATTTGATGAAAATACACCGATATTTAGGGAATTACAACACGTACTACGCCTCCGTCGCCTTATATGCTGCTCGTAGCACCACAACACATACTGTAAGTAATATCTACTCAATAATGGACACAGAAGTGACCGTGCAACCACTTATACAGGAAATATATTTACACCTATCTGAGAAGCGTAGGGATAAAAGAGGGCTACAGTCTGAAAGCAGAATATGAGACCGCTCCATGTCACACATCTGAGTTGCTTTTTTCAAAGCAGTTAAAAGAACCTAGATAATTAATTCAACTATTGTAGTCTGCATGTTTAAAATATTTCTTTGAGCTCTTTCCACACGATCGAAATCGCGTACCAATATATGCTGACCGCAGTAACCTGTAAGGGGCATACTATCTCCATCTGACTCAGCAATACAGTAAACTAAATGTAATGTCAACGGTATTACATTTGAGAAAGAGTGCTAAATGACATCCTATTATGGTGTGCGGATAGTGTATCAATGCAGTTAGCAAACTGATAGTAAAATGGACAGGTGTGAAGTTAACTAGGTATGGTATGTTGCTACTTTAATACTATTGTAATTCTCCACAAGGTCAGAACTGCTAAAATGCAGAAACGCCTAAACGTGGACAAGAACAAGGTAGATGTGAAGCATTTGGGGACGATTATGTAGGGTTGAAATTTTTTTTAAATATTGAGACAAAACGTATTAGAGGGGAAGAGTTCTGTTTTTGACGCATACACAGTGAAGACAAAATGTTGAAATACATTAAAAGCAAAATGTTCTCATAGGATAGATATAAAGGTATTTTGCAATTATCAACGGAATCTGTTGAGCTAATTCTAGGGACGATGTGTATGATTTCACTAGTGGAAACTGATATATACCATGTATTTATAAATTGGCTTTCCGACAACACAGTCAAGGCAAGGAGTGAATTATTTGCAATGTTTAATTGTAAATTACCTTTTGTATTAGGAGGATTCATATGCCAAGAATGGGACTAAAACTAGCTCTCGCTGCAGCTGTTTTTGTAATCAATAGGATACGGTTCTCCGTATGTGCGTTTGTATTATACATCATGTACCACATAGGTGATATGTGTTTCTTCTTTTAATTTGCAGGTAAGCAGTAAGTAAATACAAAGTCGAAAAGACATATTCATTTCATGGTTTTATTTGAAGTCGTTTCTCAAAGTTGACATTGTATAGTGTGGTGTAGTCAACGATTCTATGGCAACGATGGCATCAAATGTCCAGCATTTGATAGAAATGTGAAGAGCCTGTTGAGTTTAACCATGGTGGCCACCGCCTCCATGGCCACCTCCTCCATGGCCGCCGCCACCGTGACCACCTCCGTGGCCACCACCACCGTGGCCGCCGCCGCCGCCACCATGACCACCTCCGTGGCCGCCACCTCCATGTCCGCCGCCACCATGACCCCCACCACCTTTGCCGCCTCCTCCGTGGCCGCCACCCCCTTTGCCACCGCCTCCTTTTCCGCCACCTCCTCCGTGGCCGCCACCTCCTTTGCCACCGCCTCCTTTGCCACCACCTCCTTTGCCACCGCCTCCTTTGCCACCACCTCCTTTGCCACCGCCTCCTTTGCCACCGCCTCCTTTGCCACCGCCTCCTTTGCCACCACCTCCTTTTCCACCGCCTCCATGTCCTCCTCCGCCTCCTTTGCCGCCACCCCCTCCGTGGCCACCATAGGCAGAGCCAAAGAAGGCTGTGAACACTAGAAAGGAGAACAGTGCATCTGTAGTTAAATGTCTTTAAAGAACAACGCAAGAATATAGTTTTCAACCTCATAATGTTGCCAATTACCTTTTGTACGCTCTTTAAGTCACGTTGCTGTAGAAAATAGGCAATGAATTAAAAGATAAGTGAATTTATCAGTCCACATTTCAATAGAACTCACACAGTTCACGTTTGAAAGTTTGAACTTACCCAAGGCCACAACGAGTGCAATTTTATAGAGCTGCATCTTCACAGTTACGTCTATCCACAGTAGAATAAACGGTGTGAATGACCATGTAGCAAATACACAAGGCCTTTTATACAAATGGA